GGGTGAGAGGACAGCGGGCAGTGGCCGCGCGGGCCAGAGCCGCGCGGGCTGGCGCCACCGCCGCCCCACCTCCCGAGGCCCGTGAGTCGCATCTGTCCCCAGCCCGGTTTGGGCTTTTCCTTCTGGAGGCAACTCCCTTCGGTCTTTTGTACATTTCATGAGGATGTGTAGCGGAGAGCCGCCCGCTCCCAAGACTCTTTAGTCCTTAGAAAGGAGTCTGAAGGGGTTTCTGAACTTTCAGACAAGCGGAACCTGCGGCCCCTTCTGCCACAGTTCACCCCACCTAAGTTACCGGTCACCCTGTGCTCACATCCTTGGGGGACTTCCCTCCTCTGTCATAGAAATCGTGCTCCGTTCCGTTATTGTCTAGAGGATAAGGGCCCTGAGGAGAAACGTGGAATTGATGCCCAATTTTCTCACAGGAAGCTTTGCAGGTTTTACTTAATGAAATGGAAACATCGCATTCTGAGGTTTTATCCTGATCTAGAGATGGAGGGAGTTCCTCTAAACTTATATTTAGTTTTAAAGCTTTGTAAGGAGAAATCCGAGAGGAAAATAACAAGCAAACCAGAATCCGCAAGCATGAGAGACCATCCGAGGGATTCCCTTTGTTTGAAAAGATTTGTTTGTTTTTTATCTGGAAATTTAAGATTTGGGGCTTTATAGTTTTCACATTTGCACTATGAGTTCTGATGTCCTATAGTGCCGTTAAACACAAAATTGAAACCTGGTAGTGGAGTCTTAAATACAGATGCTCCTATTAACATTTGTAAGGTGTCCTGTTTTGGGGATTACTTTCTAAATTCCAATTGTCTCCTTCAGGACAAACTACTGGACCTAGAAAGTACTGGTTTGCTTATTAAATTAGGGCTGTATACTTTTGATGTTTTAATATGGTACACATTCCATTATAATCCTATCTTGCTTTTTTTTTCACTTTTATTTAATCAGCAACAGCCCTTTTTTGGTGTATTGTGAAGTGTTGATAGAATTGTTTTAAAGGTGAAGAAACAATCTCAAGAGGAAGACTTTACCAAGGCCGTGTGGCTAGGAGGTGATAGAACCAATTTTGAACCTAGGTCTTATAATCCCCATAAAATGCTCAATTCACTATATTATGTCCCATTTTTTATAGGAGCGAGGTGGTCAAGGAGAATAAATAAGCAAGGAGGATAACCTAAAATTTTAAAGAAATATTCGGTTTTTTCCTTTGTGTTTTTGATTTTAAAGCAGTAATTTTTTTTTTTTGAGATTTTCACTGTAGGGCGCGCGTGCGCTCGCCAGACAGACAGAGAGAGACATAGAGACAGAAAGCGAGAAATCACCCCCCCAGGGGGGATGGTCACGCCACAATCCCTTCTCCTCCATTCTCCTCTCGGGATCTTGGGCACGCACGCGCACGCACACGCGCCCGGCGTGAGTTTTAAGCCACCGGGTCTGGGACACGAACCGCGGTCGACTACGTGGGAATCCAGCGACATAGCCATTACGCTAACTGCTGGTTCCCTAAAGCAGTAATTTTTCAAAATATTTTATAGTTTTTATTACAGGATGGGTGTGCTCATGGTTGGGAGGGGTGAGAAATCATCCCCCAAGGCTTGGTAGCCACACTTCAATCACATCTGCACTATTCTCTTAGAATTCTGGGCACACAGGCACCCATGCCTGGCATAGTTCTCAAGCCACAAGGTCTGGGACTTGAACAACACGGTCAGCTATGTGAGATCTGTCTGCATTAACCACCACATCACCTGGCTGGTCCCATCAATTTTTTAGTATTTAAGTAATTTTATTTCTAAGAATGTTGAAAAGTTGAAAAATAGCTATTTGAAACACTTTTGATATTCAAGAAATCCAAATTCCAGGTCTTTTTTTTTTTAAGTTTTTTTTGCTATAGGGCACATGAGTTTTAAGCCGCCGGGTCCAGGACACAACCGTGGACAACACAGCCATTACATTAACTGCTGGTGCCAATTCCAGGTCTTTTAAACCTATTTTCTCTATTTAGATTTTCTGGTTCAGTCTGGCTTTCTTTTGTTTGTATGTTTGTTTTGGAGAGACAAAAAGTGAGAACTCACCCCCCCCAGGGGGATGGCCATGTTACAGTCCCTTCTCACTTCTCTTTGGATTTGGGGCACGCACACACACGTGCCCAGCGTGAGTTTAAAGCCCTCGGGTCCAGGACTCAAACTGCAGGGTTAGCCATGTGAGAGTCCAGAGATGTAACTGCTATGCCATTTACTGGTCCCCTATATGGCTTTTAAAAGGTATTTTCCTACTCAGTTTTTGTTGTTGTTGTTGTTTGTTTGTTTTAAGGTTTTTGCCATAGGGCATGAGTGCTCTTCTAGATACAGAGGGAAAGTGAAAAATTACCACTCCCCCTGCTCCCCGCAGGGGGAATGACCATGCCAAAATCCCTTCTCTTCCATTCTCCTCTTGGGGTTTTGTGCACACCTGTCTGGCATGATTTTCAAGATGCCAGGTCTGGGACACTGTGGTTGTCTATCTGGAGTCCAGCGCCTTAACCACCTGCTGGCTCTAGTGTCATTTATTTTAGTAGAGGAGAGTAAGATGAAAGGGATATATAATTCTGTTCTCTCTTTCTCTTCCAGTTCTCATTTTTTTATTCAAGAGGAAGTTTAGAGCCATACCAAGATTTTGTTGCAGATGTTAATATTAATCGAGCAGGATAAATAACCTAAATGGGATAGTAATTTTTGTGAGTAAGAAGTAATCTATTGTTATAAGTGTCAAGATATTGGATATTTTGGGAACCAGCAGTTAGCGTAATGGCTATGTCGCTGGATTCCCACGTAGTCGACCACGGTTCGTGTCCCGGACCTGGTGGCTTAAAACTCACGCCGGGCGCGTGTGCGTGCGTGCCCAGGATTCCGAGAGGAGAATGGAGGAGAAGGGATTGTGGCGTGACCATCCCCCCTGGGGGGTGATTTCTCGCTTTCTGTCTCTATGTCTCTCTGGTGAGCGCATGCGCCCTATAGCGAAATCCTCTCCAAAAAAAAAAAAAATAAAAGATATTGTTTATTTTTACTGAAAGCAAAGAGCAGAGATATTTTCAGTTACATTCACTAATTAGCTATATAACCCCAAATACTATTTTCCTGTCTTCCTATTCCAGAAAGATAGTTAAAAATATTTGGTTTCAGATTGTTTTATGTAATAATTCAAGAGACTTTATTTACTCAGTAATTTGAATAAAAATGTTACTAATCTTTTTTGATTCACTCTCTGCAAAGTGGGTTTTTTGTAAAGACTATTCCTATTAATCCTCATATGTCAGGAAAATAGTATCATTATGTACCAGATGGATCCAGTGGA